AGTCCGAATCGTATAGTGTGAGGAAGCTTGTGGGACCCAGAGAGACGGCGGTTGGATACGACATACCACTTCCTGTGGCGTTAAAAGAGGCAGGGAATGTACCGATACGATACTTGGGAACGTGGCTCGCAGAGGGGCACTTCCTCTACGAGACGAACGACCCGAGAGGACTTATGATCTAGAAGGGGTCGGACATCTAATAGCGGATAGAGCACACGATTTAGAGACAGGACTGACGCTGGCAGGGGCGAGCAGGAGTTGGTGGAGAAGTGAGTCGTTGGCCAGAGTGATCGTTAATCAGCAACTGGCGAGACTCTCTGAAGGGAGGACGAGTTGGAGCTGCTTGGTATACGGTCCACCACATCCGACCCTCTACCCGAGAGAGGATTGGCGATTCGGACTTCCTACCTTCGTGATAGGGCAGACCTATGGGAGCGTGGATCGTTTGAATAGAGCGGTGGACCACACACTTTACGCGCTCTGGGAGGGCTTAGCGCCCCGCTTCAAGGAAGTATACTACGCCATTTGTCTGAGGTGGGGGCCGCCCAGAGAGAGACGCTTGACGACATCATAGACGTTACTAGCTGGGTGCACTGTCTGAGGCCAATCGATCTGATTAGGTACTGCAGGAGACGAACAGAGATCGATTACGTGGGGCTAGAGGAAGTGAGATTTCTCTTCGAGGCCGCAGCTTAGGGAATGCTGGGAAGGACGGCTACGATTATGCGTGTAGGAGAGCAACTGGTAAGCGCAGGATACACTGTGACAGTACTTCTCCGAGCGTACGTAGACGAGGACTTGACAGCGAGTGAGTGCAGACAACGAGCCAGGGATTTGATCCACGAGCGTAGAGCTGATGTACTGGCGCGRGTGACCTTCCAGACCTCGATTTCCTATGATGTGATGATATGGTCTCATGGTTATATGCGCGCGGAGCACTACCACGATGAGACGGTAGCGGAAGCTAGAGCGAGGGTGAGAGGGTGAGCTGGAGAAAGATGTGGACCGAGTATGGAAGAGGAGAGTGAGGCAGTCGAAAGAGTGAGAAAGCACGATATAGAACCACTCTTGAACCAGGTAAAGAAGTTGGGGAACAAGTTAAGGGAGATCTGGTCGTGCCAGGACGAGGGCAAGTTGCATAGGGCTGAACTCACTACGAGAGAGTTAGAGAATCTGTTTAGGGAGGAAAGAGAGATTATCCAGGCGTGGAGATCAGACTTTTTGGAGAGGGTAAAGGCTAGAAGCGTATCACGCGAAGAAACTAGTGAGCGATGTGCAGAGAGCGAGACAACGGAAGACAAAGTAACGAAGGGAAGTAGCGACAGGACATGAGCGAGACTGTACTACACACAACGGATCAGTACTCATTACACGTGGTAGGGAGACTGGACGGACCATTAGTGTTAGTGATCATAGAACTCCAGCTCCATACCAGACTGTGCATACTTGAGGAGGCAGAGTGTGTCCGCCGCGCGCTGCGTGAGGCTAGGGGGACAGGACTTTGGATTGGAATAGAAGGAGGACGGAGGATAAAATACGTAGTCCAAGTGACACCTTTCGAAGGGCGGTCTCGGATAAGGGCATGGTACGAGACGACCAGAGAGGCTGAAGATAAGCGAAGCCAAAAAAGCTGGAGAGTTAGGGAGAGTTGTAACAGATGGTGCAATACTCAGGGTGTTAGCAGCTCACGTCCGGTACTGGAAGGAATCGATAAAGACTTTAGAGGTGGAGATAAGGAGGACTTTGAGACATTTTATGACATATTGGAGCAGTCGGCGATGAGCTTACAAGTGGTTATAGCACTAACTTACCTCAGCTGCTAGACAGATGACCTCGTAGCCGTCTGGGAGATAAGGGAGTGGAAATATAAATTGAAAGTTCTTGGAAGGATAGTGGAAGCTAGAAAGGTCGATGGGCGACTTTGGATGGCAGTAGGAGGGCCTTTAGCGGGCTAACCGATTCAGGACAGGGCTAGGAGAACTAGCGAGGAGGACGGAGATAGACGCTCGGAGACTCTTGAGGGGTGTTGATCAGGAGACATTGGCTAGGTTTGGGACTGCGATCTTTCTCAAGGATAGAGGTCCTGTCACAGGTGTACTGCAGATCCGGAGATCCACGGCCTTGTTGGCTGATCCCGAAGGAGAGGTTTACTTAGACACARGGATTCTTGGGATAGAGGGAGAGTGCGAGATCTGCGACCGGTACGGGATACTGGAAGTGGTAATCAAGGCAGTCGAGAGCTAAGATTGGAGGGGGACGCGAGCCGTGACAAGGAAACAGGTCCAGGCTGCCGCAACTGTCACAGGTGCGGGCTGCAGCGACTGTCATAGGGCTAGGCTGTAACAGTTGGCTAGAATACCTAACTTCATCTTCCGTCGGTCCAATGGAACCCGACACGATGGGGCCACAACCAACCACGGGCGAAGTAGGAGAGGAGTACARGACATCGCTCGATCGAGCTCTGRGGGATCTGAAGGAACGAAWTAGGCGAGAAGCACCGCTGAGATGGGCTGACCAAACCAATGACGGAGGGCCCGACGTAAGGGGCGAACYAGTTGTGACAGAGCCGCAGGAGGCTYYAAAGACGGGTACCTCGAGCGGACGACGAGAAGCGAYGAGGCCACGCTCCCCCGAGTACGAGCGGAGGGACACCATAGCGGACAGGCACAGAGACGAGTGGAAAGAGAGTTCGAGGGATTCCTATTGGAGGGACAGAGATAGAGACAGGGCGCCGCCCAGGCGAGTCTTCGACCCCCAGACAGGGGTGTCACATCCGCTCCATTACGAGAGCAAGGATTGTTATATTATTACGCACAAGGCCTCAGAGCCTCCTACCTTCAGGGGCTATGGTATCACAGAATATCTGGAGAATATATGGGAGTTTCACGCCAGCCGGAGTCAGTGGTCGGAGGAAGAGATTATAGAGAACTTCCTATTTAATGTGGACCCAAGTCTYGGTAGGGAAGTTAAGGAAGCTCGACCGAAGGATGGGAAATAGACTACGTACAAGAAGAACCTCGTTGAGCTTTACAAATAGGAGGATAACAAGTATCCTATCAAGAACCTTGAAACAATGACTCAAGATGAAGATGAGAGCGTACGGGCGTTTGGGATGCGTTTCCAGAAGATCTCTGACGTGCTGATGAAGAAGGGGAAGATCTCAGAGGTCGAGCGTTGTACTATCTTCATCGGACACTTGTCCWARGGTAGGCAAAAGAGTATACTTAGAGATCTTCCGCGCGACAGGCTTGATTTCCCAGAAGTCCTAAAGCTCGCGATAAAGGCAGAGGCAGACGATTACAAGGATTTGGTGTGGAGAGGGATGAGGAGACGTGACTTCTCTCTGTACAAGGAGTATGCCACGGATAGATGTCCTCATTTCAAGGACTATCCCTGGTCGGAGAAGAATAAGGCCGTGGCTGAGGAAGTGAAGGAGATACAGGACATGGTGAAGGGATTGACGAAACAGGTTACAGAGATTGTGACCACTACAGGGGCCACGGCCGACTGGGACAAACCTGGAGGGCCCTATTCACTTCGCTGGGACCGTAGGAACAACGATTCCTGGAGGAGTGTCGAGGATAGAAATCCTCGGACGCTGACTGATTATCGTACGAGGGGAAGAGAGAGAGACGATGAGCCATGGCGACGTAGGGATGATGAGATAGACCGAGACCGCAGAAATCGCGAGCCGTTTGCGCGAGCAAGGAGGCTGGATGATTACCCGCGAAACCCTCGCTATGAGGCCGATCGGGGTAGAGGCGACTCTCGCGGCCGATGGGAGACAGATCAGGGCAGACGATATGGATATAGGGACGACAGATACGAGAGATCGGACCGAGATGGATATAGGGACGAAAGATACGAGAGATCGGACCGAGATGGATATAGGGACGACATATATGAGAGGTCGGGTCGAGATGGCTACAGAGGTGGTGGGTATGAAAGAGGAGATCGGGACTGAGAACGACGAGATGGGTCGCGTGGATGTTTGAACGCGGAGGAGATGCGAGAGAGCAGCGCGACGAGTTGCGGGGGTGGTACAACCGAGGGGACCGACGCGATGAGTCACGAGGGCGATATGACTCGCTGGACTGTCGGAATGATTCGCGAGGGCGGTATGAGCAAGGAGGGTCTGGAGGAGACCGCCGCAACGATTCACGTGGTCGGAATGAGAGAGGGGGATATGACGTCTCATCAGAACCATATCCCAAGTCACATGACCCCAAGGCAGCCAGGAGTTCGATCTCTAGAAGCGCAGACGACAGACCATCTACTCCCAGGAACTCATGCGTCTACTGTAGAGGAGAAGACCATATCAAGAGGGATTGCCCGGACCTCAAACGGACAATAGATGAGGAACTTGTCGTGCGTGACAACCGCAAGTACGTCAAGTGGGCAGATGGTCTGGGAGATGTATCGATATTCCCTTCGATGAAGGAGAATGTCGAAGGAAGGAGAGTAAAGCCGAGTAAAGAAAAGGAGTCGGTCAGGAGCCAGAGCATCAAGATAACCTTTGAGGGGGATATGGCGACCACACCCATAAGGGTGGCAGCCACCAAGTCGGCGAGAGGGTCTACATCGAAGAAGACTAACACGGATTACGTGATGGCGGAGAAGGACGGGCAGCGGGTCGAYGGAGAGGAGGTTATCCTTTCGCCGCGAAAGCGGGGAGTGAAGAAGTTCTTAATGAAGAGTTCGCTGGACGAGATTGACACGGTCGAGCCACTGAGGCGGGCCCTTCGGCAACCCGTGCAGTGCTCTATTCTGGAGTACCTGGCGGCATCGAAGCCGGCTCGTGATGAGTTACAGATGATCATGGGAAGACTCGCATACTTTATCGGAGGAGGGTCAGGGGGCCCCTAAGGCGGAAGCTTATACAGTAGCAGTAACAGGGGTGACTGCCAGAGCGGATCGCATGGCGACAGTCCTTCTCGATGGAATGGAAGGTGTGCCTCCAGACAAGTTTTATATACTTGGTAGCGGGGTCGTGGGGACAATTATAAACGATGGAGCGGTACTCGATGCTGTGATCGATAACGGCAGTCAGGCTGTTATCATAGACGAGGATCTGGCAGTACAGGTTGGACTGGGCCTCGATAGGTCATACCTATTCGAGGTAGAGACGGCTGATGGGAGAAAGCAACAGATCACTGGGCTTTGTCACAAGGCAACCATAGAGGTCCAAGGGGTACGAGTGACCCTGCCTGTCTTTGCAGTCAAGAACTGCAGCTCCGATCTGCTCTTGGGTCGAACGTGGCTGAGCCACGTGCATGCGGTGACGATAGGGCGACCTGATGGGAGCCAAACTTTGTCCATTAAGAAGCCAGACGGGACGCGGGTAATGATTGAGACAGTGGAGCCTCGGGACCCGAGGAACAGAGCAGCTCTCGCTGTGGGTGCGAGACCCAGTAATCAGATTAAGTCGTTACCTATCTCCGGCCGCGCGGTGCGATTTCGCGAGAAGAGATATGGACCACTGCTCACAGAGGAAGAAGGTCGGATCGTGGAGGTGGAAGATTTAGGGAGTCGGCTAATAGTGGACGGCAACTCGTACCCAAAGGAAAAAGATGAGGAATTTGGCGRTGTGGTATCYGTGTYTTTTTTAAGGSCACGGCCCCCTATGGGGGGCTACCCAAGCGACACAAGCGAGTAGCTCACAAAGTTAAGCCAGCGGCGGTGGGCCGCGAGGGATCTGCACTGGAAGGGATATCGGAAGAAAAGATCGCGAAAGAAATTAAAGAAAGAAAGAGAAAGGAGCCGCAACGCCTAACGGAAGAGAGGATAGCAGGGATGGACTTCGGAGATGGGAATTTGACCCGACAAGAGCGAGAACATGTGATAGAAATCCTGAAGACATGTGATAAAGCCATAGCTTTTAGTGACGCGGAGCGCGGTAGGGTTGACCCTCGATACGCTAAGCCAGCAAGGATTTACACGATACCACATGTTCCCTGGAATGACGCGGGATGGAAATACGCCCAGAAGAAGAAGAAAAAAGTTATCGCTTTCCTGAAAGAAAAGATGGTTTCCCATGTTGCGGAGCCGTCTGATAGCGCTTATGCTAATCGATGGTTCTTCCTACGAAAGCCGAATGGCAAGATCCGATGGATCCAGGACCTTCAGAAGGTCAACGCGGTGACGATATGAGACATGGGCTCCGTGCCACACGCCGATTTACTGGCAGAAGGCGCCGCAGGTAGGTCGATTTATTCGGTCTGTGATCTGTTCTCAGGTTATGATGAGGTACCGCTTGACCCTAGAGACAGACACCTCACGGCTATGCATATGCCATTGGGACTAATACAGATGATAGTTGTCCCTATGGGTTGGACTAATGGGGTAGCCGTTTTTCAGAGAGCCATGGTAGCCGTCCTCAAGGACTTCATCCCTGATAAGGTTGAAGTTTTTCTGGATGACTTTCCTATAAAAGGGCCAGTAAACAAGGATGAGGCAGAGGTTGCACCTGAAGTTAGAAGATTCGTCGAGCAGCACCTAACAGATATATGCGCGGTATTCGAGCACCTAGACGATGCGAATCTAACAGTCAGCGGAACAAAGAGCCGATGGTCCGTCTCGACTATTAAGATCTTGGGCTTTATCTGTGACTCAAGGGGACGCCGAGCAGATCCGGCGAAGTTAGACAAACTCCTGAACTGACCGTCACCATTACATAGTCCAACCGAGGTCCGGCAGTTTCAAGGAGTGGTTGGTTACTGGCGTATATTCATACGAGGGTATGCGGAGAAGGCTGAGCCATTGAGGTTACTCCTTCGAAAAACTGAATAATTCTACTGGGATTCTTCGCAGGAACTCGCTATGCAAGAACTTAAAGACGAATTTAAGGAGGGAGGACGCGTGTTGGGCGTGCCATTCTATGACGATGAGACCGAGAGACCCTTCATAGTATCCACGGATGCTGGACCATGTTCTGTAGGTGGTTTGCTGTCTCAGAAGGACGCGGGAGAGAAAGAGAGACCGTTAAGGTTTGAGAGTAGAACACTTAATACGGCTGAGCGTAACTACAGTCAATTCAAGAAGGAGATGTTAGCTGTTCTGCGGTGTCTGAACACGTTCACACACTATATCTATGGCCGTCGGTTCATCCTGAGAGTGGATCCCACTGCGGTTGCCTCTGTCCTCCAAAATGACTTTAGCCTGACAGACCCGACCATTGCACGATGGTTAATACGGATTCGGCTATATGATTACACTGTAGAGAGGATATCTGGCACCAAAAATGCCGTAGCAGATGGGCTCTCTCGGATTCCTCTTGAGACCGAGCGCCCGATAGTAGTTGGGGCCCTAACTATGGCGGTGTCAGGATGCACCGAGCGATTTCTGGTTAACCTTTACGAGGGCAAATACCGAATGATCGGGCTACATTTGTCAGGAGAGGAGAGTCAAGAATCAGATATCCGTAGACAAGCGGCCCAGTACTGCCTTAGAGTTGACCATCTGTTTCGAAGGCCGGTCGGCTCGGGGATCCCCTTACGAGTAGTCTGTGACCCTGAGGAGAGACAGACAATAGTTGCAGAGCTTCACGACGGGGTAGTCGGAGGACACAGGGGAGTCAAAGGAACCTACGAAAAGGTACACAGGTTGTACTGGTAGGAAAGACAGTATAAGGACGTCGAGAGGTACTGTATGACCTGCGAGGAGTGCCAGAAAAGAACTCCTGTAAAGTACAAAGAGCCTCTCCATCCATCCTATCCCACCAGACCGGGAGAGAAGGTACACATCGATCTGGTGAAGATGCCGAAGGGGGTAGGCAATATGAACTACGTCGTGAACATACGAGACGATTTCACTAGGTTAGTGGACGGTAGACCCATCAGGAGTAAGACGGCAAAGGAAGTAAAGAACTTCGTCCTGGAGTACTTATCTAGGTATGGTTGTGTCAGCAAGATAGTGATGGACAGAGGGGCGAAATTTCTAGCTGACGAGGTCCAGAGTGTGTTCAAGAGAGCCGGGGCGAGAATTTCGATAGCCACCGCTTATCACCCACAGTCCAACTCCCAAGTAGAGAGGGGACACCAGACTCTGATAGCGTCACTGTCCAAGCGGTGCAAGGGTAAGGACAGTGATTGGCCACGATATTTTCGATACGCAATATGGGCGGACAACGTCACGGTCCGGGCTAGTACCGGATACCCACCGTACACCTTGTGGTTTGGGCGACATTGTCCGCTTCCCATAGAGTTTCACGTCGACAGCAGGACAACTGTCGACTGGGCGGAGAAGATGTCCAGAGAGGAACTCTTAGCTGCCCGAACAAGACAGATAGCCTACGGTTTGGAAGATAACCTCATGACAGCGGCACATCGTCTGGCAGTGGAAAGGGACAAGGGTAAAGAGAGATGGGATAAGAACGTGCGAATCAGGAAAGAGAGGGTGAGTGTAGGAGATATGGTCCTTCTCTACGACGCGGCACTGGAAAGGATCTAGACCGAAAAACTCGCAAATAGATGGATGAGACCTTACAGAGTGGTTGAGGCACTCGACTGAGGTGCATATATGATAGCAGAATTGGATGGATCTAAGTGGAAGGACCCAGTGGCGGGCGCTAGGTTAAAGTTGTTTAGACCCAGGCTTGCACCCACCTTATCGCTAACGGGCCCCAAAGGAAAGGGGAAGGCTAAGATGGAGGATGAAGATCCCTTGAGACGATTCGAGGCAGGCGAAAGCTCCAAGAAGAGAAAAAGAATAGAGAAAAGAAAGGTCAAAGGGTTAGCTCTAGGAAGAAATAAGAAATGGTTATTCGTGCTCAAGAGGGCCAAACGGAGAGTCCGCATTAGACAAACTGGCGGGACGACACCCTTCTCGGGCCAACGACAGAAAAAAAAGAGAATCCTACCAAGGCCGAGAACCCGACGGGGAAGGAAAGTCAAAAAACATCTACTTCGCTCTATAACTCAAAACAGACTGAAACATAAGACAATTGAACGCCGACGTGGACGTCCTTTACGGGCCATTACCCCGCAGCTCGTCCGCTTCGTCTGACGTAAGTGGGTAGGGCTCGACGGGGGCGTCGAGAAGTGGTCCGGGCTAACTGTCAGGCGGCCACAAGCAGTGCGCCACCTGAAATCTGGGGTTTTGGGTCTTAGGCTCAAAGACAAGTCCGTGTTTTGATGGTGCTCCGGGTTGACCAGGCAGCAAAAATTAGGGGAGCTCAGGGCACCCCTGATTTTGGGCGCGCTGAACTTTACGAGCAACCCTCAAAAACGACGAGATGAGTGGCCGCACTAGGCGCGACCGGGACCGAAATGAAACCTCAAATTATTGCCCATATTAGTACCACAATTAAAGATGAGGAAAAGGGATCAAGGCTAGAAGTGGAGGAAGGAAAAATATAATATCCCTTAATTTCTTTATTTTTCGCAACATTTGATTCTAAGGGGAATATCCTTGTTATTTTGTGTTCCCGGCAGATAAATTAAAAACATAAAAAAAGATTAAATATGAAAAAAGAGAAAAAAAACAAAAGAAATTCGGCCGTTTATTTAAACTTTTTCGGAATTTAATTTTGGGGAATTTATGGTTGATTTGCTATTTCCGACAACAGAATTAAGGAGAAGGAAGAATGATAAAAAAAAATCGATGAAAGGGGCGGGAACCCACGACTATTGAGAGATTGACCTTATTTCGCCTTGAATACCCGCCGTCAGCACTGACCCTGGATTGATCATTTTGCCCGGATTCTAACAGTTTTCACTTCTGCTGATGGTCGAGGAATCCTGCGTCCTTTCCCAGTTGCCTGAATACTAACATTGCCACAGTTGGGGTGTTATAAGAGCGGAAGTCGCATGGACCACATGGGGTGGTGCTACCTTGGGTAGAGAGTATGGGATGTGGCTTGGTACGAGTAAGGGGGTTCAAAGAGATTCTACACTGTTATGGAGTGGCTGCATCCTACAGAGTCCGGCGTGTTTCTGGTTCGGTATGGGTACGGCGACCCTGGGGACGCAGCGGTGATCTATGTTCAGCACCAGAACCCCTATGACAGTTTATTTCAGGTTTGGCGCCAGCCACGGTCCGGAACCGCTACGCCGCCATATTTCAGGGTCGGCGTCGGTTTGACATATCCCACGATAGCATTTTCACGCTCGGCAGCACTACGGAGACTTATTTCAAGTACGGGACCTTGACAGCAGTTATTCCCAAATCGGCGCCATCACGGGTACTTATTTCACGTTCGGCGCTATCACGGCAGTTTGTTTCAGGATTGAGGCCATTACCGAGACATATTGCGGGCACTGTAGTAATTCATTTCCAGGGCCGGAACCGGTGCGACAGTTTCTTCGGGTTCAACATCAGTTTATTTCGGACTCGCTCCTATCGTGATACCACGTTTCAGCTTCGGTGCCATTACCGTGACTTATACTCAGGTTTGGGACACTGCGACGATTTATTACATGGCCGCGGCCACTACAGCAGTTTATGACAGGGTTGGACCTTTAACATCTTAGCTGCACGGTCCTGAGATGGCGTGATACAGCAGCCCAGCTCTGCTCTTCATGTTCGGTCAGACTCGGCACCAGTGCGGTGCAGGCTATTCAGGTTCGGGATAGTACGGCATGTTGCTCGCCCCTATGTGGCACCAGGTCCGTGGTCCCTATTTCTCAATGATTGTTTGAGTGCGGCCCCGGAACCAGCGGAGTCGGCTACTGCAGTGGGGACAGACATTCAGGCGTAACTGACCAGCGGATTAACTGAGAACTGGCCCGGCTGTGACGTGCCTGGGCCTTAAGGGCCTTGGTGTTACGACACCCATCTGTTGGCTCGAGGGCGGTGCTCACGTACCACGCGCATTGAGCCTGTGCTGAGCCTGGTGCCGATGGTCTCGGCTGTACAAGCAGATGCTGAATGAATATAGGGCCGG